TGGGCTCAGGGCCGCCGACAGGAGGGGACTGACCTAGGGGCCGATGCTGTTCGTTCACCCTGCCAGCCAGCTCCTGTTTTTGAGGAGTATGGTCCGGCAGATCATGGCACAAGTCCGTGCCCTCCTCCTCATCGCCTGTGTTCGCATCCTCGTGCTCGTCCAGAGCCATTTTGGCTCAAGCGACTCTGGCCTTGGGCTCAAAATCTCTCGGTCCCGCTCGGCGCGGTTCGCCCGGCCGCGTGCTGCCATGGCTCCCCTCCGCGGCACCGCCGCTGCCGGCCTGCCTGGCCATCGCGCTCGGGCTCAACCTCCTGCCGAGCGCCTTCGTGGCGCCCCCGCCCACGGCTCGTCCGGCCGCCTCGGTGGCCACCGCGCGGGGGCAGGTGGCCCTCGCCGCGCGCGGCGGCGGCGAGTACGATGTCAGCGATGCCGACATCCAGGCGTTCTACGACGAGACGATTTCGGGTAACGGCGGCGACCCCCCGAAGGGTACGATCGCGGCGGAGCTCATCGTCAAGCACTTCCACGGGGTGTGGGACGAGAGGGGCACGCTCACCCGCTACAGCGGCCAGTGGAAGGGCCCGCCCCCTGGGGGGATCGGCAAGAGGGACATCGCCGTCGGCAGATGAAGCTGGGCAAGAACGTCGTCAAGGGCGGCCCCGGGAGCGACGAGACCCAGAAGGTGATGGACGACGGAAAGGGCTGGGTCTGGCTGGCCGCAGACATGAGCCCTGGCGGCCTTGCTGTGCAGCTGTACACTTCCGTGCCCTACGGCAAGCGCCCGCTGCTGGTTGCCAAGCGCTCTGAGGTGGACACCATGTTCGAGAAGGTGAACTGGGACCTCATGGACAAGCGCATTGACACCACCATGGGCGGGCCCCAGGTGAAGCAGCGGTAGATCGCGGCCGCACAGAGGCGCTCGAGCAGAGTTTCCAACTATTTAACCCGCTCCATCTTGCACTTCGTGGAATAGGAGTTCGATTTGGCGGCTGCACCGCCGCGCCAATTTTTCTCAAAATGACCGGATGACACGAGCTGTTGCCTCTGATTGGTCTTTCTCTCTATCTCTCTTCCCCTCTCTCGCGCTCTCCTCTCTCTCTTTCTCTATCTCCTTCTCTCTCTATACATCTCTATCAATATGAATGCATTGATGCGTTGATGCGTGCGTGTATGTATGTAGCCCCTCCACACACATATTGATATATACATATATATATATATATATGTATATATACATAACGTGTGTAAATATGTGTATATATGTGTGTGTGTGTATATATATATATATATATTTCAGCCCATCGCCACCGCTTGCTGGTGTCCCCGGAGATCGATCCCCCAGGCGGTGGTTCTTGGGAAGGGAAACAACACCAATGACACACCGCGGGTGGGAGCCCGTCAGCGTGTTACCTATGTTTGTTGTCCGAAGCCCTGCAGTCTCTTCCCGCAGTAACACGCCGATGGGTTCTCCGCGGTGACGCGCCACTGATCTTATTTCTCCGCAGACGGAGGAAGCGAAGGAATAACCGAGCAGCCAGGACACTGGCATACCACAACCAAGCCCGGTTTGTCTCCAAGTTGAAACGCCCTGGCCAAGGGAGATAGCACAGCACCGAAGGGGCCACCGGCCTCAGCGGCAGCATCATCATCCCCAGCAACCCCAGCCGCAGCACCATCGGCCGCAGCATCATCAGCCGCATCATCATCATCATCATCATCATCATCATCATCATCATCATCATCATCAGCCGAAAAAGGCTGGGTCTGGCTGGCCGCAGACATGAGCCCTGGCGGCCTTGCTGTGCAGCTGTACGCCTTCGTGCCCTACGGAAAGCGCCCGCTGCTGGTTGCCAAGCGCTCTGAGGTGGACACCATGTTCGAGAAGGTGAACTGGGACCTCATGGACAAGCGCATTGACACCACCATGGGCGGGCCCCAGGTGAATCAGCGGTAGATTGCGGCCGCACAGAGGCGCTCGAGCAGAGCTGCCAGCCTATGTGACCCGCTCCAGCTTGCCTTTCGTGAAGCACGAGTTTGATTTGGCGGCTGCCCCGCCACGCCGATTTTCCCAAAATGACCAGATGACACATGGTGTTTCTTCTGATTGGTGTGTGTGTTTGTGTGTGTCTCTCTATCTCTCGCTCTCTTCCTCTGGATACCCTTTTGTTGTTTTCTATCTCTCTCTCTCTATATATATATAAATATATATAAACATACACGTACGCAGGACGACCGATTTTGCCACTTGTGGTGCAAATGGCGATGATGAGCTCGACAGATAACATCGGCGCCGCCGAACGGACGGCGTCTGGACGAGCTGCCTGCAGCAACCGGGAGAGATATATGCATTCATGTCGAGTGGGGCCCACACGCGCGAAAAATTAATGGGAGTGCGCGAGACAGTTGAGTTGAGGACCCGTGCTGGGAAGTCAATGCCCGAATCCCCTCCCCTCGTAGAATCTTAAACGGGTGGTTTCCGGGGTCCGCGGATCCAATGTGTTCGGACTCCCCGTTTAGATATAACATTATGGGTTAAATACGAAGAAATCGGATCCGCCGTAAACAAGGGGAACGCGGATCAAAAACATCCAAAATCGGATCCGCGCGGATGGACATCCGATACCTTGGCACAAAGCCAGAGCCACAACCAGATCCGCGCCAATTGCATTGGATCCGACGGCGGTCATCTCATACGCGTATACTCGAGACTTGAAACCGTCGATCCGGGCCCAAGGGGAAAAACGTTGGTCCTGTGGATGTATGCGTATAATGTAACTTGTGTGTATATGTATATATATATATATAGAGAGAGAGAGAGAGAGAGAGAGAGAGAGAGAGAGAGAAAAAAAGAGAGAGAGAGAGAGAGAGAGAGTGAGAGAGAGCGGGAGAGATCGGCTTTCGGCCCATCCCGCCACCGTGCCCGGGTTGTGGGTTGGAGGCCTCTGGGATGTTCGTTCGGAGGCCTCTTGGGGACCGCTTGGGGGCCTCTTGGGGCCTCTTTTTGGACCTCTTGGGGGACTCTAGGGGGCCTTTTGGGCTTTCTGAAGGGCCTCTTGGAGCCTCCTGGGGGCCTCTTGGGGTGAAAGGCTCGAATTGTCGGTTTGTGTTCCCCCTCTTGGGGCCGTTTTGGGGCTCTCTTTGGCGATCTTTGGCGCCTGTTGGGCAGCTTGGGGGCCCTCTTGGACCGTCTTGGGGCCCTCTTGGGGGCCTCTTGGGCCGTCTTCGGTTGGTCTTGGGAGATTCTGGAACCATCTTGGAGCGTCCGAACCCCGCAAACGCGAGAACGTGAAAAGCATACGAAAAAACACTACGATTATCAATGTTGTGGGGCCCTCGTTGAGGGTCCTCTTGGAACGCTCTTGGAGCTTCTTTGGGGCCTCTTGGGCTGTCTTGAGACCACCTTGGGAGTCTCGGAGCGCTCTTTGGGCTGTCTTGGAGGCCTTTTGTGCGATTATCGGGCCCCTATGGGCCCGTCTTGGGGCCCCCTGGCCTCCTTGGAAAAGTCGCACGAGGCAGCCCAGGAGCGAGTAGGAGCACCTAGGAAATACGAGAATGTGAGCCCCAGTCCTTTGAATACTATAATCCCAGGGTCCCGGGTACAGAGAACAGCGAAAACATGAGAGCCTGGGGGTACTCCACTTCGTGCCTCGAGGCACGGTGGCGGATATGGTTGGGGCGGAATGTGTCCATGGCCACCGCTTTCCGAGGTCACCGAAGATCGATCCCCCAGGCGGTGGTTAGCCGGGAAGGAGAACACAATGGCCTGCGGTGTTGTCCGAAGTCTTGGTGTCACTTCAACAGTAAGACGATGGTGGGTTCTCCGCGGCGGCCTGTCACAGATACTCCTTCGGCTCCTTCAGTTTTTCGTAACCGCACTCGCACTCGAGCTCACTCTCGTGCTCGTCACTCGTCACCTCTCCAGGCTCCACCGGGCCGCGCCCCTTCGGATGCCGCCCCCTCCACCACGAGGGTCCATCGGACCCGGCGCCAGCGCGTTGAGCCGCCCGCCCGTCCCTCCCCCGCCCCGATGGCTCCACTTCGCCGCCCAGCCTCGGTCAGTGCCGACTCCTTCCTGGGCTCAGGGCCGCCGACAGGAGGGGACTGACCCAGGGGCCAATGCTGTTCGTTCGCTCTGCCTGCCAGCTCCTCTTGGTCGGGAGTATGGTTCGGCAGCAGATCCTGGCTCAAGTCCGTGCCCTCCTCCTCCTCCTCATCGCCTGTGTTCGCATCCTCGTGCTCGTCCAGAGCCATTTTGGCCCAAGCGACTCTGGCCTTGGGCTCAGAATCTCTCGGTCCCGCTCGGCGCCGTTCGCCCGGCCGCGTGCTGCCATGGCTCCCCTCCGCGGCACCGCGCTGCCGGCCTGCCTGGCCATCGCGCTCGGGTTCTACCTCCTGCCGAGCGCCTTCGCGGCGCCCGCGCCCACGGCTCGTCCGGCCGCCTCGGTGGCCACCGCGCGGGGGCAGGTGGCCCTCGCCGCGCGCGGCGGCGGCGAGTACGATGTCAGCGATGCCGACATCCAGGCGTTCTACGACGAGACGATTTCGGGCAACGGCGGCGACCCCCCGAAGGGTACGATTGCGGCGGAGCTCATCGCCAAGCACTTCCACGGGGTGTGGGACGAGAGGGGCACGCTCACCCGCTACAGCGGCCAGTGGAAGGGCCCGCCCCCTGGGGGGATCGGCAAGAGGGGGACATCGCCGTCGGCATTGCGGGCCTGAAGGAGCAGATGAAGCTGGGCAAGAACGTCGTCAAGGGCGGCCCCGGGAGCGACGAGACCCAGAAGGTGATGGACGACGGAAAGGGCTGGGTCTGGCTGGCCGCAGACATGAGCCCTGGCGGCCTGGCGGTGCAGCTGTGCACTTCCGTGCCCTACGGCAAGCGCCCGCTGCTGGTTGCCAAGCGCTCTGAGGTGGACACCATGTTCGAGAAGGCGAACTGGGACCTCATGGACAAGCGCATTGACACCACCATGGGCGGGCCCCAGGTGAAGCAGCGGTAGATCGCGGCCGCACAGAGGCGCTCGAGCAGAGTTTCCAATTATTTAACCCGCTCCATCTTGCACTTCGTGGTATAGGAGTTCGATTTGGCGGCTGCACCGCCGCGCCGATTTTTCTCAAAATGATCGGATGGCACGAGTTGTTGCCTCTGATAGGTCTCTCTCTCTCTCTCTCTTCCCCTCTCTCGCTCTCTCCTCTCTCTCTCTCGTTCTCTATCTCCTTCTCTCTATATACATAGCACTATACATATATATATATATATACATATATGAACGCATTGATGCGATTATGCGTGCGTGTAAGTATGTAGCCTCCCTCCACACATATATATATATATATATATATCAGCCCATCGCCACCGCTTGCTGGTGCCCACGGATATCGATCCCCCAGGCGGTGGTTCTTGGAAAGGGATAACAGAACCAATGACACACCGCGGGTGGAAGCCCGTCAGCATGTTACCTATGTTTTTTTGTCCGAAGCCCTGCAGTCTCTTCCCACAGTAACACGCTGATGGGTTCTCCGCGGTGACGCGCCACTGATCTCATTGCGAAGGCCTGGCGGCCGGTGCCGCCGACCCTGTTCGCAATGCGCAGCAAGAGGCACGGGCTGTGGGATGGTTTGGGGGAACGGGGAGAAGGACGAGAAGGTGGGGGAGGGAGGTGTCGTATCTGACCCGGGACTTCCCCGGGACTCCCCCGGGACCCCCCCCGGGACCTCCTCTCCCCCCCCCGTCGGGGAAGGGAAAGGGAAGGGGCTTCCCTTCGACTCAATGACGACGTTGCTCAAGGTCGGTACGGGGGGGGGGCGTCGTATCTGACTCGGGGGGGGGTCGCTACCCCCCCCGCTACCCCCCCCCCCTCCCGGCGGGGGAGGAATGAAAGGGAAGGGGCTTCCCTTCGACTCAATTACGAGGTTGCTCAAGGTCGGCTTGGCTGGAGCCCAGGGGAAGAGGAGTCCCAGGGGGGGGCGTCGTATCTGACCCGGGGGGGGGGTCGCTACCCCCCCCCCCTCCCGGCGGGGGAGGGATCAAAGGGAAGGGGCTTCCCTTCGACTCAATTACGAGGTTGCTCAAGGTCGGCTTGGCTGGAGCCCAGGGGAAGAGGAGTCCCAGGGGGGGGCGTCGTATCTGACCCGGGGGGGGGGTCGCTACCCCCCCCCCCTCCCGGCGGGGGAGGGATCAAAGGGAAGGGGCTTCCCTTCGACTCAATTACGAGGTTGCTCAAGGTCGGCTTGGCTGGAGCCCAGGGGAAGAGGAGTCCCAGGGGGGGGCGTCGTATCTGACCCGGGGGGGGGGTCGCTACCCCCCCCCCCTCCCGGCGGGGGAGGGATCAAAGGGAAGGGGCTTCCCTTCGACTCAATTACGAGGTTGCTCAAGGTCGGCTTGGCTGGAGCCCAGGGGGAGAGGTTTCCCAGGGAAAGGGAAGGACAGAGACGACGAGTACAAAGAATGACGGAGATGACGGCTCGAACGGAAAAGCCCCTCACACACGCGTGCCACTGATCTTATTTCTCCGCAGACGGAGGAAACGAAGGAATGACCTGGCAGCCAGGACACTGGCCTACCACAACCAAGGCCAGTTTGTCTCCAAGTCGAAACGCCCTGGCCATGGGCGCGAGCAACGTACGGAAGGGGCCACCGGCTTCAGCGGCAGCAGCATCATCCCCAGCAGCCCCAGCCGCAGCACCGTCGGCCGCAGCATCATCAGCCGCATCATCATCAACAGCAGCGCCGCCTAAAGCAGCACCACCGAAGGCGGATGGTGTGTCCATCCCGGTTCCAGCTGGGACCGACACGTCCGATGACGATCAAAGACCCCGTCGAGATTCGACAACAGTTCATGCACAACGAACGCCGCCTGGCTAAGCCTTCGAGCATCGAGCGAAAAGGAAGCTCCAATTCTCGAGGGGACGATGAACGAAATAGCGTTGAGTTTCTTGTTTCGTCTCACCGCGATCTGACTCGGAAATCTGAGTGGTGGTATACCACATGCCGACACAGGCCATGCCGCAGTGGAGCCACCAACCCAACCTGTCAGGACACGTGGAAGACGCGGGACAGATGGCTGGATCTTGGTCAAAGACGCCCTGGGGCACATTTGGGGAGGTAAAGGTCTCGGCGCGAGGACGACGACTACCATGTCTGCGTTGACTTTAGGCTCGGGGAGGCTCGGGTCAGGGAACCATAATCATGACAGAAGGGGACGCCCGCGCGCGCTCGCAGGGACTGCGCGCATCAGAGCGCGCAATTGGATCGTGCGAGCAAAGCGCGTTGGCGACAGCGGTTGCTGTTGGTTTGTTTCTTGCTTGTGTGCTGCTTGATGGCCGGGCAGCGCGGAGAGCTCTTCATCGAAGAGTTCTTAGATTGGAGGGTCGATTCCTCCGAGCGCGAGTCCCTTTCTGCGCTCGTGCAGAGAGAGGGACTGGAGTCGGCTGGCGATTTAGCGCATTTGTTTTGCTCGACGGACGAGGCGGAGCAGTGTGGAGTGCCCACGGCCTGGGCCGTGGCTCGGGACGTGGCGCGGGTGACGCCGTGGCTGGTGCCCGCGCATGGCATTTGCGCGGAGGGGCGATTTGGCGGCGCGGCGGCGGCCGCCGCGCCCGCCGTGAGCGCGGGGGCCGCGGCGGGGAAAGGGCGTGGGCCTACCGCCGCGCGCCGCGGTCGGCCGAGACGCTGTGCCGCAGTGGCGACGGAGGCGGCAGAGCGTGAGGGGCGCGTTCAGCTGGCGGTCAGCGCAGTTCGAGTGTCGCTTGAATGGCGCCCGGAAAGCGGCCTCGGGCAGGGGTTGCAGGAGGCGCAGGCCGAGATGCTCGCCGACGTCTCGTCCGCGGCGGTGTTTAGGCTGAGTAATTTCGAATCCGGGACGCTGCGCACGGCCTTGCGCGTGTGGGGGCAGTGGGCCGAGTGGGCGGGCCGGCAAGGGCAGCCGGCGACGAGTCTGGCGCGGCAACCCATGGCAGTCGCCGAGTTCGTGCATAAACTCTCGATCGCACGGACGTCCGGCGTCAGGATCTGGAACGCCTTGAAGTGGATGTGCGTACATTTGAAAGCGCCTTTCTGCCTGGACGATGCGTTTCGCCCTGTGCCACGTGACCCAGGCAGTGGAACCGTAGCGCCGCCGGCCCAGGCCACCGTCGTCGAACCCGAGATGATTTACCATGTGATCGATTTCCTGGATGGCGCGAGAACGCCTGGGCAAGTCATGCTCGCGGCTGGGATGCTGGCGGTGGTATTCGCGTGGGTGAGGTGCACGCACCTGCTGCGCTCTAGGCCTTTAGAGAAGTCTGTTTATTTTTGCTGGTTCCGCGCATCGAGGGGGAAGCAGGAAAAGCGACAGGGGCGACCTTCGTTCGATTGGTGCTTGCCGAGGCGGCTAGGTGGCGCGCGGTCCGCCGCTGACGCCTTGTGGGATGGTTGGCACAAGTTGGCGGCGCGGGAAGATCGAGCAGGAAGGGCTGTGCCGACGGGGCTCGTCTTCGATCCAGTTTCCGGCGCGCCGGTGAAGTTGGGTGCCTTTAACCGATCGCTGAAGGAAGTATTCCGAGGCTCGCTAGCGGACGATTCCCAGTTGGATCTTGTGACTTCGTACAGTTTGCGCCGGGCTGGGCCTACATGGGCGAGCGCGATACAATTGGACTGGGAAGCCCGAGTCATCTCGGGCGGTTGGACGGAGGGGGGAGACTTTCCCGTCGGAACCAGATGCCGATTGTGTATAATGCGCGTCGGCGGCAAGCCGAGATGTGCACGCGCCTGCACATGGCCGGAGTGTTGTCGTGCCTGCGGACCGATCTGGAGGCCCCAGTGCAGTGGGAGCAAGTGCGATGCTGGGCGAGTTCTGCGCCAGGAAAAGTAATGTTGGCCGACCTAGAGAAAGAGGCGCAGCAGCGGGTGGCGGTGTCGACCGTTCGTGAGAAGGCCGCGTTCTTGCCCCCGTCGGTCGTCGAGGAGTTGAGGCGGCAGAAGTTTCTCCGGATAATCGTGGCCCCGCGTGGACAGCGGGTGGGGCGCGGTAAAGCGCCGGGCGCGCCTCCACCCAATTGTCGGGGTCCTGCCGACGGGGGCGCCGCGGGTAAGAGCGGTGAGGGGGGGGCGGGCGCCGAAGCGCCGGGCGCGCGTGCGCGCGCTGCGCAAACCCTCGCGTCGGGGGCACCGCGTGCAAAGCGGGGGGGGCGCGGTAAAGCGCCGGGCGGTTTGCGTGGGAACGCGTTGCCTGCGCCTGCGAGTCCACGCAGAGCGCCGAAAGTTGCCGGCAAAAACAAGCGACCAGCAGAGGCGGGAGCGCGCGCCAGTCCGGCGTCGGTTGCCATTGCGGGCCGCGCAGGGCGAACCGCGGGTCGATCGCGCGGCCCAGCGGTATTGTGCCCGGGCGTGGGCGGCATTGGAGGCTGTCTCCATCCCCAGGTCCAGGGGAGATGAAGTGTCGGTGCGGCCGGGAGACGCAACCCGTGCAGGCCCGGCCGCGTTCCAAGCGCGGGGAGTTGACTGCGCCGGTCGCGCGGTGACCGCGCTTCCAGGTGACGAGGCAGCGCAGGGCGCGGAGTTGGGTGAATGTGACGTAAAGGGCTCAGATGGCGCGCCAGCGCACTGCGCGCCGCCTGTCAGGCAGGTTGCGGAGGGATCATCCGCACGCGCGTCGCGAGCCGTGGGCCCGTCGCCCGAGCCGCGGGGCGCGATCGGGTACGCGCAGTCTGAGCCTGGGAGGGCTACCCGGGTAAGGGAGGTTATGGGGCCTCGATATCACGTCGCGATGCCCGTAATTCGTCGCCTCAAAAAGTCCAGAGCCTGGACGGACAGTGAGTTCGGGCCAGTGACGAACCTATGTCAGAATGGATTGAGTGATCTGCAGTGGTTCCCGGCGCTCCCGGAGGGAGCCCTGGTGTGCGCGGCGTGTGAAAAGTTGCGCGGCCGGGCAGCCCCGGCGTGAGGTGGTGACGTCATCGCGGCGGAGACGCGCGGAGTTGCGCGTGGGCCTGCCAGCGAATGCCAACTTAACGGATGCGC